AGATGGGTACAGTCGGTTCCACCAACGTGAAGGCGTGCTGCTTGGGAACCATTAGTAATAGTAGGAGTTGTGGTTGTAGTATTCGTAGTAGTAGGAGTAGTAGCTATTGTGATACAAGTAGTAGATGTTGTAGTAGTATTGGGAGTAGTGTTATTGATATTAATAGTAGTATTATCGTTGGCAGTATTAGTAGTAGTGATAGCAGTGGTATTATTAGAAGTAGTATATGTAGTAGTAATAATGGTTGCCTAACCCTTATTAACACTTCCTTTTTTATTCCCATTCTCTCGCAGGCGCTTAGCTAACAATCGGAACGTATTTATCAGTCCCGTGAAGCAGCAAGTGACCCTGTCACCAAAGCGCGTCACATTCACGATCGGAAAGGGCACCAGTAAGGACCTCATCGAGCTGAATACGGTGATCGGAGCGGCTGAGCGGCGGGCCTCGATGGCAAACCTGGCGATGGGACTGAAGCGTCCCTCGATTGGGCCCGGAGTGACTATCGCTACCGGCGGATCGCCCTTCACTATGGCCACTGGTGATCGTTCCGACTCCAGATGCGTCTCCTTTGTCGGGCAGGGAGGCTTTGAGTCGAAGCGAATAGATTATTAGCCTCCAGTTTCCAGCGGCGGCATCCATTTGATGTTCTTTTAAAAAAACTTGTATAGGTCACCATGTACCCTTGGCATTTTCTGTTTTTTTTGTATTAACCCGTTACAACGAGATATTTGTTGTAAAGTCGGTGTTTTTTCATTGTCTCTTTTAGCCTGCGGTTTATACGTCGAACAACAGTTGACCTATCTGGTGAAATTTGAACTTGAATTCCCTTAGGCCTCTTTGATTGGAGTGGGTTAATTCTGCGGGGTCATTTAGTCCGCTACAGTTTTACTAAGTTAACGATAGACGAATGCTTGTGAACTCCCGATTAGTTAAAACATGGCTGCGGAAAAGCATCGGTACGTAGGGAGAATTCAAAGAGTTTGTTTATATAATTGCAAACGAAAACCAAGCATATGTCGGCTAATCGAAAAAAAGTAAACATATACTCACTTATTATGAGCTGTATTACTGCATGTGACTATTCTGCGTTGTAGAGGGAAAAAGCTTTATCTTGAGGGTGGCATCAAACATTTTCAAAAAAATGACTCCATTCACTGAGACCAATCGATGAATTAAACGAAATACTCGAAAATCTAAGGACTTATATAAAATCCATATCTATTATAAAGGTAGATCTTATTTCAGCCTCGAGACTTCCGTTTCTTTGCACGTGAGGTAGCGTGCCAAGATTGAGAGTACGGGATGCTGCTATGCCAATGTACGGTAGGGCATAAGTCGGACGTGTCTGCGCATAGCACGGGAAGACTTGGCAACCATTAACTCAGACTGGAGTGGATGGAAAACCTCATTAGAATGCGATCAGAGAGTTGCTTGACCGTTGTAAACTGTCCTTGTACTATCGTATCAGCTAAAAAAGCATAAGGAACATTGGCAGCTGAAGAGAGCATTCACGGGATACTCTTAAAAATCCACAAGTCCTTTTTTTAACCAAGACTGAAAACTCGTCGGAAAGCAGTGGACAATGACGGACATAATATAGGCATCTATTTATCACCGCATTACATCTCCATGTGTGTGATATGAACGCAACCGACGGACACAATATAGCAGTATAGGAATTTTAATTAAGACTATCTCAACATGAACACTAAGTTAACGATTAGGTGTCAGAGCAGGTCACTAGACGCCTTTCGTTTTTGGTATGCAATGGAGTATGTTGAAATGAGCAGCCAAACTGACCAATGGAATCTTTTTGACTTTTGTACTAGTCACCGAAAAGTAATCGCAGGTGGCTGAATAGTTAGATTAGTAGTATGCAATGAAGTTTGTCGAAATGGGCAACCATCCTGACTAATTAAATCTACTCAGGTTTTTACTGCTTCTAAGCGGAAAGTTATAACAGGTCACTAGAGATATCCGGGGAGACAGGCAATGGACCATGTCGAAATAAACAAACCGATCGTTCAAACAACCTCTATACAAGTGTCATATTCATCGCAAATTCATGGTAGGTCACTTAATATTTCCGTTTATGGGGAGCAATGGAGCATGATGAAATACGTAACCGAAGCGGCTAGCTGAATCTACACAGATTTCCTCCTTTAATCGAAACTAATTGCCCGTCAATAAATGCTTCCGTGTGGGGAGGAGGGGACGAGAGTAGGGGAGGCTATGTAGAATGTTAAAGTAAACAAGCAAAATGCCTAGCTGTACCCGTAATGAGCAATTACTTCGGCTAACCTCATCTGCACAGACTTCATACTTCTTCTAATCGAAAAGTAATAGGAGGTCCCTAAATATTTCCGTGTGGTGGGGGCTCCAGGGGATATTTCGGCATAAGCAACCAAACTGGGGTCTATAGAGGTTGAGACAGACACAGAGGCAGAGAGTAAAACAAAATGTGCCTTATTTTCAAGGTGGCACCCAAATGTTTCAGTAAACCATGGCTCTCTTCTCCGAGACCAAGGGATAAATTAATCAAATACACAAAAATCCAGAGGTTTACGCAAAATGCACATAATGGAGGTAGGTCTAATCTCAGCTTCTGCGTTTCCGTTTCTTTACACGTGAGATAGCTTGCTAGAAATGCGGGTACACAATGCTGATATGCCATTGTATGACAGGACATAAGTCGGAAGTGTCTGCGCATAGCGCGGGAAGACTTGGCAACCATTAACTCAGACTGGAGTGGATGGGCAACTTCGTTAAGAATGCCACCAGTGAACTGCATGACCGTTGTAAACCGTCTTTGTATTATTGTATCAGCTAAAAGAAAGACCGGCGGCGGAAAAGAGCATTAGGCGGAAGTGTTTAAAAATTAACATCTAGCAAAGCATGACTGCCTTTTCCGCATTTATTTTCGACGCCCTTATAAATCCAA